TAATGCAGCTTGCAAACTTACCTACTGTATAAGTGGGACCTGAATTAACAAGAATAGAAAACCAAAAGAGAGTAATGTCTTCGAAAGCTTTCTCTTTTGTTTGTTTTCTTCCATGTTTAAAGGTCCTGGTAATTATATTCAAGATATCTGGGTTTTATTAGGAACCATTAATTAAATTAAGACTCACTACATAGTTTGTCAGAAGTAAGATATTTCTATGTTGTGCACAGTTGAGTGATAATGTGTTCAAAGTTCAAGGTCTAGCAGGTAATGTCACCTGGCTAAATGATGGCTCCAGGAGCAAGGTTTTGTCTTTAGGTTTTGAGGAAGCAAAAATACATGTAAAAAGATATGTAGCTAGACAATTTTCTCTTTAACCACACATCTGTGGACACCTCAGGTACAATAGGTATTACTGAAATCTAGAAAATATGCTTAAGAAGTTTGCGCCAGATATGTCTCCTTAGGGTATAAATTGTCAATTCTGGTTGTGCTGGTTTAACTGTCATGTCTTCTGGAATCCACCCCATAATTCTAGAAAAGAGTGTGAAGAGCTTTACCCTGTGAAAGATGGCAGATCCTTAGTTTGATTGACAGTTTGCTTATTTAATAATTTTAAATACATTTTTATAATTTTAACATAATGAATGGAGATCTAAGAGGGATCCCCAAAATATGTAGAGTAAAATAAAAATTTATTCACACTACTCATAGGTGTTCACTTTGAGTTATTTATTTACTCAAGTAAAAGTAAAAAAAAGTAAAAAGAAAACACAAGTATTATTTACACTTGGGTTTTCTTTCTTTCTATCTTTTAAAAAAACTGTATATATTAATTTCTGTTTTGTTTTCTTATGAAATAGAATCATTTTCTATGGGTTTTTTCCTAATTATTTGAACTTAGCATTTTATATATATAATTTTGTCTTTGGTGAGGAAGATTGGCCCTGAGCTAATATCTGTGCCAATCTTCTTCTATCTTGTATTTGGGATGCCACCACAGCATGTCTTGATGAGCTATATGTAGGTCCACCCAGAATCTGAACCTGTGTACGCCAGGCAGCTGAAACTAACACTATGCTGTGGGCAGGCACCAATTAATTTCTGTTTTTAACTTCATTATCTTTTCCCTAGTTCCTTTAAGTGTATTTTCTTTTCCTAATTTCTTGAATGCTTGGTTTATTTTCATTTTTTTTTACGTAATTACAAAAATATTTCAAGGCTGTGATTTTGTCTCTTGATACCACCTTGGCTGCATCTCACAAGATTTACGTGTAAATTATTAATTTCACTATTTTCTAAATAATCTGTACCTGTCAATTTTTATTTCTTTTTGGTGCAAAGTTATCTAGAAAAATTACTGTAAATTACACAATTAGAATTTTTGCTTGTTTTGTTTGTTTCTTTAGCCTTTGATTATCATTTATTATATTATTACATCGTGGTCAGAGAATATGCCCTGCATAATTTCAGCTCTGCAAAATACATGGAAATATTTGGCAAAACTGTAGAAGACTACTTTTTTCTATATGTTTCATAAATATTATATGTTTTATATTCTTTATAGTGCTTATAGTTAAAATATGTTTATTAATTCAGTCATGTTAATTACTTTTATCAAATGGTTTATATTTTTTCATGATCAATTAGAAGCATCAAAGACAGAGAACAGTGCGAAAATCTTCTGAGAAGTTCTGTTTCTATTTACTTTTTACATAATGTTTTTTAATGCTATTTGTTTACCATATAAAGATTTGTGACATTTTTGCAACTTTACTGTAAAGTGCACTTTTTCTGTATAAATGGCCTTTTGTAATCTGATTACTTTTTCCTTCAAATACCTTTTGGTTTTACACTAATATTTTCATCCATACAATTGAACTTATGGACAACTTTTCTTGTTAAAAATAAAATTTTACCTGAAGAGAACTGGAAAGATGGAAAGATCAAAGTCCATCATGATATAGTTAGAACGGGATAACTGCCCTTGTTCTTCTCTAGAGGGAACTTCTTTGCCTGAAAAATTTTCTCCTGTCATGCAGGTGATAACATGCAACATTAGCATGAAAAAGTATGAGAAGAAAGGATTTGCTCTTGACTAGTTAAGAAATAGGCTTAACAATTCACAAATTTCATATGGGATTAGACTTTAATAACTAATAATCACCTTTGTCAAGGAAAATGTATTCGACACTGTGAGAAGTAATTGCAATTTATGGAAATGTTTTGAACCAACATAAGAAAAATCAAAGTATTGCTAGTGACAATGGTAATATGAAGTTGGCACACTGTGCTAGAAGGAAGAAGCATCTTGACCAGCTCATTCTCTGGGCTTCCTCTCAGACAAGACTTCATGTCCAGAACTTCTGAGCTTTGGTTCATTAAACTCACACTTCATCACCACAATTAAAATCCTTTTTCCACAACATCTTAAAAGAGAGATCGCAATTAATTCCATAGATACCTTTTCCTCTTAACACTATATTTCATACAACTGTCTTTTTTTTTTTTTTTAACATCTAACTATTTATACATGTCCTGACGTAATGCTCTTTTATTTGTTCATGCCTTCTTTTTCCGGTCACTGATGGTAAGCTTTTAGAGGACGGGAATCTTCCTGATTTAGTTTGCTCCTTCCTAGATAGGCTGAGCACAGAAACATGCTTAAAAGTACACCATGCTGTGCCAGTTATCTCCTTTTCTAACATTACCCATCCATACCTCTCCCTACATTTTTTCCTCCCTAAAGAGCATAATAATTAATATGAGTAGAAGTGTTAGGTAGAGAGGTGAGGTATAAAGATGAAAGAAGTTTCAATTTTCTTTTTAAATCTTCAATCCTTGACCACAATTATTAAAAAACTGTATTGGACAAGGCCTACAATATAAATAAAGTTTGATATGTTTTCATAAAATTTGCCATTGCATAGTCAATTGGGTGAGAGGGAGTAGCCGACAGCTAAGTTAGACGTAAGTTGCTGTATCATCTCATTAAAGGAATCCAAGTAGCCTCTTGTCTCAATCTATCTATTAATTTTCATTTATGTTTCAATCACTTCATAATCTGCTGATTACTGAATGAGCTATTATCTTTGTAGTCTGATATTTGGGGGCCTTAAAAAGAAAATTGTCTGGAGCATGCAGTACCTGGTGGAGGTTAGAATAAAACAATGCCAAAATACACTGGCTCAGTCTTGGACATCAGGCTCCCTGAATAGTCTGTAATTAAGGAGGAGTAGAGGAGGTGTGGTACTTGTCTTATGTAAACGAGAGATACGTAATTGAATTAAGCAGTGGGGGGAGGGGAATAAAACAAAGATCAAACCTCAAGTAACATCAGTTCCTGTTCTTGGCAATGACATTAATGATGAAAAGATTTCTTTGTTCTTTTGCATATTATACCACCCCACGTAAAGCGAACACACTATTGCAAAATTTGTAATTTACCCAAAGACTGACTATTTTGAATGTGAAAGGATAGCTTTAGCAGGTTTAGTGTTAGGAGTTTTAGAAATCTCCTCCTAATACTTCCTATGTGGAACTTTAAGGTGGAACATGAAAGCAGCTGACAATATTAAGAAAAAGAAACCCTTAAGACTGAACACAGGTTATTGGTTCCTACACATAAACTGTGCAGTTGAGAATAGCCTCAGGGGGCCATTTCCAGGGAAAGACTCACCTGGTGAGGTCAGAACCTCAGGAGTTTAAAAGCAAGGGGCATGCTTCATTACAATGTGGACTGGAGGTGAGCGAACAAGATCCCATCGCTCTTTAGAGAAGCTATTTCATGGCTCACCCGAGTGCTCAGGCATAAATACACAAGCAGGAGGCCCGTTACAAGGGGTTGAGACAAGTTGTAGCACTATCTGAACGTGAGCCAGGCCAAACTGCTAGGGCCCGAATTAAAAGGAAACGGTTTATAGGCTGTGGGACCTCTTACCAATCCATCTTTTTCACTGGGGAGAAAAAAAATCCCTTTCGCAGAGGTGATGAAAACCTGTATTAAAAGGTGACACAGCAGAAAAAAAAGAGGCTGAGCCAATTGGTTGAGCATTTCAAAAAACAAGAAAAAAACAGCCAGCATGGTTTTAAAAATATTTAAGTGGGGAGGGAAGAGGGGGAGGAAAAATCACAAAATTGTCTATGATTAACAGTTCCAGGACAAATGATATTGACAGTAAAGAACATTTAGAAAATTCAAGAATTATATTATATTTAAGCAAACCTCTACTTTTTTATAGCTACATTATGAATGTGTTGATGAACCCTTTGCAGTGGTGTGAGATGTGAGGTTTGTAAAATTCATCAGCCAATTAAGTGGACCCATAGCTAAAGCCAATGTTCTTGATAGGTCTAAGAAGGAGACAAATTTATGAATTTGATAATTGCTCTTCTCTGCTGTGGATATTAGCCTCTAGATGACCTTCAGCATACTTCAAGCTCTCTTTCTTAGCCCCACAAGCCTATAGGCACTTGCGGTACATGTATACTTCAGTCGAGATCATAAATATCATTGCCCTTTACAGGTTGTATGGCAATACATATACAGTACTATGTTAAGGGTCTTTGGGAAAGTATCCATATAGAACATATCGTATTCTTTGGTGTTAATACAAAAGGTAATAGAGGATTTGCTAAATGGTTCTATGACTGGAAAGAATGGAAATTTCTCACCCAGACCACCCTACAAGAATGGACTTATTGCCCCACCTGCCAGCAGACAGTCTCCATCTGTCAGTTCCTTCAGGGTTTGCCAAAGTTCCTGTGGACTGCTTCCTCCAAGAGATGCTCTTCCTGCCCCACAACCCATCCCCGTTCAATGACTGACGGGGACAGGTATAAATATCCAGTCATTTCTGGCAGGACAGGACAACTCTGAAGGGCTTGTCTATGCTCCAGAGCTTTCCTGAGCTTTTGACCAAAGGTTTATCGGGCTTCTATGGATATTCAACTTCTCCCTCTGCCCAAACTTACCTCCTCTCTTGACATATTCTACTCACCCAAATTCACTCTCAGTTCCTGCTTCCAGAGAAAACAACCTGTGAAATAAGACCATATTAAGAGAATGTCTAATAAGTGTTCTCTGCATCAACCTTATTTTATAGATTAAGCAATTAAAGTACAAATGAAGAGAACTTGCTTGGGATGAATAGTGAATTACATATTAGATATTAGGGCTGCGGTTTTTAAATCTCCTGATTAGCCTCTCATTTTTCTGATTGTAAGACTCACCAGGGACATTCAATAAGAATGCCAAACTTTGGAAGTTGTAGTTCCATTGGTAAGTGAAATTCTAGGCTGTCAATAACTTTAGTTGTGTATTAAAACTATGTACAGGGCAGCTAATGAGCTAAAACATATGAGAATATTAAATAATTGAGAATCACCATTGTTTCCATTTTTTTCTAAAAGATTTCTGTTATATCTCTTATATTTTCAGTAGAATTATGTAACTGGAGGGGATCTTGATGATTACGTGGTTCACACTTTTCAATTGGTACATCGGTAGAATTTGAAACTATAATCTTGGAATTAAACATGAAAAGTGGGCAATATGCGTTGAGTGGGCCACAATTAGATAAAACCAAAGACAGTCAATGCATTGCATGGTATTGGGGGTGAGTATGAACCATGAAAGATGTGGATAATTAAGGTGTAACCATCTTCATGCTAATTAGCTAGTTTTTGCTAATCAGTTATTAATACACATTTATTTCCAATAAAGTGTAAAATGGTAATGCAACTATGTGACGTATCCTGCCACTTATCTTGTTTGCGTATATTTCAAACCTTCAAACTGACTAAAAAATACTCATTTAGATCATGAGTATTTATTTAGTATTTGCTATGTATTAGGCAATATTTTAGGTGCCGGGGATATAGTGGTAAACAAACATGCAAAGTCTCTAACCTCATGGAGCTTATATTTCTGGTGGAGGAGATAGTAATTTAGAAAGCAATTAAGTAAGTAAATAAATAAATACAATCCATAAGTATACAGTCATGTACTGCATAAACGATGTTTCAGTCAATGACAGACTACATGTACGCTGATGGTCCTATTAGATTAGCACCACATAGCCTAAGTGTATAGTAGGTTATACCATTTAGGTTTGTGTAGGTACACTCTATGATGTTTGCACAATGATAAAATTGCCTAACACATTTCTCAGAATGTATTCCCGTCATTAACTGATGCATGGCTGCATGTTATAACGTCAAGTAAGTTGTAGGAATAAAGATGAAGAAGGGTGAGAGGATAGTAACATGATTGGCTGCTCTAGGTAGGATTGTAAAGGTTAGACTGTGGGAAGTTAATTTGGAACAGAGAGCTGAACGAAGTAAGAGAGTGGGTAATGCAGATATCTGGTACACAAGTATTCCAAGCAAAGTGTAAAAGCCCTGAGGCGGGAAGGGCTTTGGGGTATAAAATAAATCAAGGAAAGTGCTCTTGGAGTGCAATGAGTAATCTGAAGTACGTAGGAAATTTAAGTCAGAGTGTTTGCCAGAGGTTGGATCTTGTGTGGGCTTACAAGCCATGGAAGGGACTTTGAATTTTATTCTAAGTATAATGGGAAAGCACTGGAAGACTGAGGGCAGGGATATTATATAATGTGATTTATCTTTTAAAAGGATCACTGACAAATGTGTGGACGTGAAACTGTAGGGAGCAACAGTAGAAGCAATTAATATGAGGAATATTGAGGAGGCTATTGCAGTAGTATAGACAAATGGTCATAATGGCTTGGTTTTTGGCAGTAGCCCTAGAGACGATGAGTTGTTGGATTTGCTAATGATTTCGATGAGGGGCGTGAGAGAAAGAGAGCAGTCAACAATGACTCTCAGGTTTTTATTCTGAGCAACTAAGTGGATGATGGTACCATTTACTGAGATGGAGGCCACTATGGCAAGAAATAAAATGGTGCCATGAGGAAGCATTGACCTATTGCCAATGGTTCATGCATGACATGATGGAGTTTCCAAATCTCTCCTTTTGGTTCCTAGTCCTTCATCATTTATTTGGGGTCAAAACAAGTACAAAATAAGAATTTGACATGCCAGAATGCCAAATGAGGAAAAATTAGAACTGGAAAGCATAAAATTATAGGATAGCAGAGAAGTGATGCCTGTGGCAGAGCCTTTATTTTTCTAGAATAGTTACAACAAAGCAAAAGGGACATTTTGCCTTTCTATTATGAATGTAAAAAACACAACATAAGAGTTCCTTGAAATTCTAAGATGGCCCTATTCTTTAATTGATATTTTGTTCTAAAATACAGTAGGATGGAATTATGTGAAAGATCTTTTTGACTGTAATTTTCATTTCTATTCCTTACAGTACAGTGTCTCATCCTCAGCTATGTATTCAGTGCAAAATAGACAAATTATAGTCCAGCTTCCAATAATCCCCTTTTCTTTGAGCTTTTCTTTGCTGTTTTAGGTGGAGGACTGCTTTAACTGTGGCTTCACATATGTTTGTGAAAAGGAACGTTGGTTGTAGGTATTTGAAAGATTGTGTTTACATTTGTTTCCTTTTAAATTTTAGCCACAGTGCTTAAATTCAGATTGTTTCAAGAGATGCTCATAAGATCACAGCTATGGCCCCAGTTAGGATCCCCTGAGAATTTGAAGCCACAGTGGGCCTCAGTGCCAAGACAGTAATATTTAAACAGTTGATGTTGACTGATTCTACCACCTACCATACCAACCTTCATCCAACCAGCCACAAACACCTACAAAATAAATTCTTTGTTAGTTCTACCAAGACCAAATGTGCATTTGCCTGCAGAAGGTTTTGTCAAAAGCAGAACATGTTAGTGAGGAGCTTTTACCAATATCATTCCATCATCACTATCATTGTCATAATCATCATTGTCTTGGGGCGGGAGGAAGGGACAATTTGTGACAAGGTGATACATTTCTTGGACACAAGAATGATTTCTAATCTCTTTCCCACACACATCATAGACTCTTGTGTCTTGAGGTCTTTTAATATGTTATGCATGTTCAGAGACTAGTAGTGGTAATGACAAAGCTAACTTAATTGATGTCCTGCAGTAATATGTAGTTCCAACTAACTCTTAAAAAATGGCAACCAACCTACAGAGAAAAATTCCAATCCGTAATTATTATGAATATAGCTACCTAGGTGATTTATCTCTGAAGACATTTCAATGGGCATTGAATTTTCCAAATAGGTCAATTAATGTCATATTAATTGCTGTTCTTACATTGCCCCAATTGACCTATTTCATATTTGTGTGACTCCAACGAGAAAAAGGAAAAGACAACAGGATAAACCTTTCCTTTCAAGCTGCTGTAATGTCCCATCTTTCTGGAATTGCATTCAGAGTAAGGATTTTGTATGAAAGGGCTTCAGGAAGTTACAAAACTCCTTTACATGGCCTGTTGGATCTGTGTACAATTTCCAGCATTACCCAGAATAAATACCAGGAGACTGGTGTGGTTTATACAAGAGTTTATAGAGAAAAAAAATCCACCCACCAGCTCCCATGCTGAGGATTACAACCAGGTCTCTGCTGCCAAGTTCTGTGTTTAGGTAAAGCATGAGAAAATCTGCCATTTTTTTTAAAGTCACAAAAGCGTTTCTATAGTAAAGAGTGGTAAGAAGCTGACAGCTTTTTATGCATAAAAGGCAGCTGTTCCTTCTCAGGTAATATTATTAATAAACCCTAAGGTAATGTTTGCTCTGAAATACGTCTAATTGAAATAATTTACTCTGACCCTTGGAGAATTATGAAACTGTTTTCATCATGTTCACACACAGCAAAATAATTATGAGATGCCATATGGAAAAGCCATCATGTGGTAGATGTCTTTCTGAATCTATATTTTTGAAATATTTCTCACAGATAAATCAAATAGCTAATTCACAAAGTAGAGGTGAACAGTGCCTTTTCCACGTGGAGATTTGATGTGAAATGTTTGCAGTTCCAGAATATTAACAGGGGTGTTGACATCAGTAATTACTACAGTTATGAGACATTTTTCACAAAGTATTATGAGAGCAATATCTGGTCATACAGGGACAAAAAAGGTATGGGACTTTACACATAGCGTATGAAATATCTAGGTACGTTTAGTCTCAGAAAACAGCGTGGGTACATTGGTGACTGAGGTACTTTTTGCCTTTAGCATAAAATCTGTCTGGAAAGTTCCAGCAGTTTCCACTGAGATAGCACATTTGGCAAGATGAGACTGAGCGTGGTATGTAAGGACTTTCGGGAAAACTTGTCAGCTTTCACAGGGAAAGGTCCAAGTGTTTATGGGAACTATGAAGTGGTGTTGGGTGGCTCTCAAAGGGATCTGCGGGGTCATTTGGGACAGGGATTTGAAAGCTTTTTGATTGAAGCTCTTCTGAACTTATCAAAATGGTTAAAAGTCTGGCTGTGAGTCTCATGAGAGCAGACTTTCTTGTGAAATTTCTGGTATGGTACTTTCCTGCTGGGGTGAGAAAATCTTAGTAGGACAGACTTTCTCACCATATTTTAATTCTTGAGATCCACGTCCCTGTTAAACCCAGGAAATGGAGAATCACAGGAAACCGAGCTTTGCTTTAAACCTCTGGGAAGTTAAGATTCAGATTTCTCTAGAGTTTCAACTGTTTAACTAAATCAACTTGCCCCATTTCCTGAACATGTCCCTCCCCCTCCGAAAAAGATGGGGTGCAAGAACAAAAAGGAAACACATAAAGAAAAAAAAGTTTTTAAAAGTGAAATCCACTTTTCCATAAGCTTTCGGTTTCTCCAAACTTCTATTAAATAAAAAGTGGTAAATAAACACACCCTGTTAACCTTGTGGTAGTTAAAATACCTAGTCTGCATTTCCTACCTCTCCAGGAGTGGTATCAAGAGCCTCTTGGACCCTCAGCATTGCCACAGTTTTTAGAGGGATCTCCATTTCCAATGCCCATGACTGGATTTCAGAGCACATGGTCTCAGTTGCAACAAATGAGCATTTTCTTCTTCTAACAGCTCTTTTGAGGCAGCCGCTGGGATGTGGACTCTGAGTCTGGCCAGGCAGTGTCATCTTCACAATTAGCTAATAGTTGGCACATTGAAATCCTAGTTCCAGTCCCCTCGGGTCCTTGCAGGAGCCTCCCATTCGTATACAGCCTCATCTTACTTCAATTCCTCACGTTCAATTTTCCTTAAACTTTAAAACACATTTATATAAAAGCTCGTGTATGTAGATACCATCCACAAATGTTTACAAGAGTTTTGCAGAAATGCGTGACCAAAATTTTTTCTCTTTCCCAAAGTTGCAGTTCTATCTTCAACAACGGAACACGGGATTTTTTTTTAAAAAAATAGTAAATTGCAAAACTGGAAACTTGACAAAACGATGAACTGCTGCTGTTTTCTAATATATTTCGGGGCAGATCCTCGTACTTCCCATTTTTAAACAACTGCCAAGCATTTGTTTTTATATCTGCTAGACATCTGTGCTATTGGTGAGCACTGTTTCTAGCTATCGACCGTCCTAAAATAAAGGTAACATTTTTTCTGTGATTTATAGTCTATCATTATTATAGTGCAGCCTCTGAATGCGAGAACTAGAAATTTATTGCGCACTTGTGTCTTATCCCCAACTCATGTAATAGAGGAAAGGTAAAATGTCCTGGCTTGTTGAGGGCTCTCTTCTTTAAGCAGCTGTCTTTTTTGGTGGGGTGCTTGCAGCTTGATTAAACTACACGGAGAAGGTCAGTGACCAAGCTTTGCCTTTAACAGTTTCCCATAACATGTATTCCTCATAGGGAGCTTTTCTCAGCTCAGGTTATTTCCAGCAATGTTCTCAAACCAAAAGAATGGCCTTTGCAGTAAACCAACACATTCCCTCTTTTTATCCTTTATCTCACATGTAAGCAATGACAGCATTTCTGTTTCTTCTGCTGACTGAGCCAAGAAAAACTGGATTGATGAGGCTGTCTCTTTTTCATAAGTGTATTATATTCTTTCTTTGACCTTTCAAAACATGGGAATCTTCAGTTTCGTAAGACCTCTTAAGGAGGGGAATTCCCCACCCCCATTCCTGTCTACTTCTCATCACTTTTTGCCACTGTGTGGCCAGCTATCCTTGGGAATAATGCATTCAGTACACATACATGCAGACTCACACCAATCCCAAACACATTTACTGGAAATTTAGACTATGTAGCAGAAGTATAAAGAAAAGCTTTGCCATAGGGTTGGATTCCCAACTTCTGTTACACTCCACAAAACTTTTTGGAAGACACTATCGTGAAGAAATTAGATATACTGCATAAATATTTAAAAAAAATAAAGTAGCTAACGCTAAATGAGTGAAACTTAAGAAAGATATTTTGACATCTAATTTCCTGTTCCAAAATATATCAGTAACATTTTCATGGTTTCTCACCCATTCTTGCTTATTAATAGTTTCCAATTTCTGATTATGCTTTATGTGTGAATGACTGATAACTATTTGGGAAGGGAAACAAGAGAAGATGGCTAAATTCACAAAGCCAAATCCTAATTAGTGCTTCTTTTACATCCTTCAGTCAGGCACCAAAGTGCTTATAAATTTTTAGTTTAGACTCCAGATTCTCCTTCTTAAGTCAGTAAGACCTCCTATCTTTAACTCTGATGAAACTTAGTTGAGACTATTGCAGTAAATTGATTATGTCCTAAAGGAGAATGTAGACTGAGGGCAGTTTCTCAAGACGTTGCCAAGTGCAAACGGCTGTTGAGTAATTGGGTTTCCCATTGCTCTCAGAGTATCAAAACAAGCACCTGAGTGTTACCTCAAAGTTTCTCTGCTTAGACCCTCACTTATTTTTCTCATCTCAAAATCAGGTAAAATGCTTTGTAGAAAACTGAAACCGTCAGCCAAACTATTTTATTTATGAAAGTATGGTATAAATGGAAATATTCCTAGAAATTCCATTTTTTCCCCTGTGGGGTGAGAACCACAAAAAGAGCTGAAATCTAACCACTCAGAAGTTAATTGCAGGTGAAAAGAGGGCTTAGAACTAAAGTATGAAGATCAGGAGGCTAGGTCTTTCCACAAATCTCTAGATTCCACTGACCATCTGCCAATTAAAGAAATCTATTTTGCTATCCTACAGGGGTCTCACAATGAACCCATCTAAAGTGGAATGCTTAATTCTTTCCTCCAAACTGTTTCTTTCCCTATCTAGTGTATCTCAATAAATGACACTATTATTGATGCAGTTGCTCAAGATAGAAAACCAAGCGTTCTCTTTGGTTCCTCCCTTTCCTCAATACCTACAAGTTACATATCAGCAAGTCTTCTCTACTGTCTAATTCTCTTCATCCCTACTGTTTGCACCCTAGTACCCTAGATTAAGCCACCATCATATTTCATCTAAACTATTGAAATAAGCTCCTGATCAGTCAAGATCAAAGGAGGAAAACAGAGTCAATGCCTGGTAGTTGAACATTAGGAGCATAAAATGTATTATAAAGTGATTAGGAACGCTGAAAAGCCAAATAAGGATAGTGTACCAACCCCAACATTAGCTACATCAGCAAAACACTTCCATTCCTAGACCTGGAGGGCAACGGGAGAAGGCAAAGATATTAAAAGAGCCAAGGAACAAGGGCCACACAGCAGAAGGTGACATCACAGTGGGAGCGGCTGTTTAGAACCCTGATTAGAATTAGAACCACAGAGAGATCAGGCTACTTCCTGAAGCAGTGAGACGGTTGTGTGGCCAGCTCGACTTATCCCTTTCTTTGGCCCCAAACTCATATCACAGCTTCCCATTTATCCCACCTAGCTTGACGGCAGTTGACGAAAGTAGCCTTGGAAATGTTTGTAAAAAGCCAATTCCTGGAGAGCAGAGTAAGGGGGAAGAACGAATCTGTGAGTAATAGTGCAAATAAGTGTCACAGTCTGCCTCTTTGGCTATGCAGCATGTATTCTCCCAAAATATGTACAATTTATTGTCATACAACAACAACTTCATGTTCCATCTAAGGAAATACAACCCAAACACAAATGAAGAGATTCTCGCACCTCCCCACATGAAGTCTCATCATTCACTGTTCACTCTTATATTGAAGGTCTCCAGGTGACACAATGCCTTCTTCATCAGGTCTATATGTGATTCCACGAAGTATGGAGACTTATGAATTAAAATGTAAACTTCAGGAGCCAGCCCCATGGCCGAGTGGTTAAGTTTGTGCGCTCTGCTTCAGTGGCCCAGGGTTTCGCAGGTTTGGACCCAGAGCACAGACGTGGCACCACTCATCAAGCCGTGCTGAGGTGGTGTCCCACATGGCACAGCCAGAAGGACCTACAACTAGATAATACAACTATGTACTGGGGGGCTTTGGGGAGAAGAAGAAGGAAAAAAAAGAAAAAGAAGATTGGCAACAGATGTTAGCTCAGGTGCCAATTTTTTTTTTTTAAAAGCACACTTAAGCATTGCCAGCACTCTTCACATACACAGTAGAGAAAGAGGAAAGAGTAAAATATGAATAATTTATTAATATATACATAATGAAAATAAGGAGCACTTTTAGAGCCCTAATTTCTGTCTCTAATCATGAGGGTGCTTCTTTCATCCACCTTTTCCTCTTGCCCTAATACAGAACCTCGGTTGGTCAGGCTTCTATGTCTGGTTGGTGAGCCAAGACTTCTTTCCTAAAGAGTCTGAACACTTATTGGTTCTGGCTTTATTGGGTAGTTTTTGTGGATTTTACTACTGGGCTTGGAATTATTAAAGGAGGAGAGTCCCAATGAATTCTATCATGTTTCAGCAAAAATTTCCTGTTGATAAGTAATTTCCTGATCAATATCCACATCCCCTTCCTTTGCCTGATGGTTCAATGGCAGGAGAAACCCAAACTATCCAGGTAGTGGTTTTAACTTAAAATTCAATGGGACAATTATTGTGTCATTAATGAAAGTACTTCCTTTTTTGGGAACTAAGACCTGTAAACCTGCAAAGTGTGAAGTTATAAGGACAGGAAGCAAAAATGATGCGAGTATAGATATTCGGTGTAATAGTGAAAACAGTAACTCCTAATTCTAATTCTTTGTTCCTAAACACTTACATACTGGCCATGGGAGAAGCAGCACCTTATACTGTCCCTCGTTTAAAGCACCCAAAACTACCAGATTGAGGTCTCCCACTGACTTCCCAAGTGAATCATCAGTAAGCCATTCACTATTCTATTAGGTCAGTTTCCTTTGGGCAATGGGGTACATTGCAATACAAGTGAATTTCATGGGTATAAACCCATTGCTGCACTTTTTGCTGTGAAATGTTGCCTAATGTGTTGTGAGATTCTATGATTATTAACAAGATAGTCCTGAAAGTTCATGGATGATAGTGCTGGCAGATGCATAGCAAATCCATTTAAAGAGTAGGTATGTGTTCTAGTGAAGACAATCGATGCCCCTTCAAAATTATAGAGGTTCACTCTTTTCAACCTGTTATCAAGAAGTTGATGATTTCTTTGGGTATGATGATATGTCAGCTGTTAAGCATTGGCCACTGAGGTTGTACATCGGACACTATGCTGTGGAGGTAAAATCTATGCTGTTCTGCCCTTGCAAAGCTTCTATTTCTGGCATGATAGTACCTGTGTACATGGACCCACTGAATGAGCACTGGAGTGTCTGGGGAAGGCAGCTGCCTGATATCCACTGTATGAATTACTTTGCCCATCTGATTTGAGAGCCTTCTCAACAGTGGGTGTCTTTTCGCTGAGCATTTCACATGAGATACAAACACCTTCGTGCTTTGTGCCCATTCTTGGTACGAGCTTTTCTTCATCAGTCAACTGCTCATAGGAAATTTCTCACAGATCACATGTGTGGGTTGAGAGAGGCAAGGATAGTGTGGGATAGCTTATCTAAAAATAAAATCAGTGTTATTTGACTCTTTCAAATGACTGCCTCTCAGTTCTGCTCTCTCTTGAATTATCTATTTATCTATTCTTCTCAGTCATCACATCTTTGGACTATTGGGACATTATGGGGTGGCAATAGCTTTAGCACTTCACATGGGTGCCAGTTTCAGGGCCTAAGAATTGTCTGAGCAAGATATCCTCTCTGAAACCCTCAGTAGTTCTGCATTTTGTTTACTTCCTAAACTTACATACTGTGGAGTCTTATTTCTTGAATCTGGACCCTGACCTTGAAATTGAATTGCTTTGAAGAACTCTTTCAGTAGGGATAATTGTTATCTTTATTAGCCAGAGTGAACATAGCCAAATGAACATATCTGACATACCTTTATTAGTCAAAGTGTGCATTGGGTGGGATCTAAGGAAGCCAGCTCTTAGCAGTTTCCTTAATTTTTTCTTCCAATTTATCTCGGTAATTTTCCAGTGTCTTTGCCATTGCTCAAAAAATTATCTTGGGGTGGAGAATATGTGTTTTATAATTCCATAAATCATGGGAATAAGTTGTTCTGGTCATTTTAAGTTGAAGACCTGAGCCTCTTTCCTGTATGCTCCCAGAGGCTGGCTTGGAGCAAAGCTTTGTGTTTCATACAGGTCTTTACTTAAGGCTCCAAGGAGCCTTGTATCTGTCAGGATCCTCAGTCCAAGATGCAGAAAGAAGTTTTGGATATTTCAAGCAGAAAATGGAGTTATCAAAGGACATTGAGGACTTTATTGATGGCCAGGGAACCAGGCTACACCACTAAGAACTACATCCAGAATCACACCAGAGTACTGTCCATGACGACATCGTGTTGCTGCCATCCTTCCTTCACTACTGACACTTTCGATGCTGGATGCTGGACATAGCTGGGAGAAATGTTGCACACTACCATTTTGATGTGTATTTTTCTAGGACCTTTTCAAAATATACATACATATTTTTGTTTCTATTCAAACTGGAATGTTTTTTAAAGTTAGCAATACACTGTGAACATATTTTTCCAATGCTTAGAAAATTTTTTCTATAATATAATTTATAGTGGTGCATAATAGATTGTTACATAGCTCTACCAGAGTTTATTTAACAAATCCCATATTGTTTGTGCCATTTCCAAATCTTTATTATGTTACATAACATTTTAATGAACATCCTTGCATTTTTGTTTTATATAGATTTCAGGATATTTCTTTAGGATAAAATTCATAGAGGTTGAATTGTTGTTTCAAAAAACATGGCAGTTTTTAAGTTTTCTATTTGACTTGCCAAATTCCACTTCTGAGAGTTATCTTGGGGGATAAAGTGCAGGCCCAGGGTCATTTTTTGAGAAGCAGTTTGTTATGGAAAATAGAATAGGCTGAAAGATTCTTTATTCTCTCATTCCCAATTCCCACTGTCATTCTGTAGCATTTCACTTATCCAGATTGCAATTCCAACTCTGACACTCCTCTATTTTTATAAGATTTTTATAAGGATTAAATTAGATAATGCATAGAATTGCTGCTCATCACATGCCTTGCACAAACTGAAAACTTTTTAGAGGTTACCTATTACTACTGTTATTATTAATCTGTTTTTTCTCACTCTTCTCATCACTGATGGTCAACTTTCATTGGTACAGTTATTTCTCTGCTGTTTTTTGAGGACTCCTGATATGCACAATATATGCATGAAAAATTTCACTCTTTGAGAACACTGAGGCACATATTCAAAATGATATTGTAAAGGTGAAACAATTATACCTATAAAAACAAAATTCTTTCTCTACTAAATCTCACATTATCCTTAAAATTTCTATAAAAAGTACCAAAGTGATCTCTCATAAATTGGAAAATATTATTTTCGCTGATAGTCTTAGAAATATTTAGGATAAAAATGTACTTTAAATTCATCTTGACAGAAATAGTTTGTTGCAATTACATCACTGACACATACAGATATTACATATATGTCACCTTGAGTTAATAGTGACCTGAGGAGGAAATTTGGTTTAGCAAATCCCTTCTAGTAACACCCACAGAACTGAAAACTTATCCCACTTCTTGGTGGTCTTCTGCCCATCCAAAGCTCCTGAGGACCATAAAACATGCTGGTTCCTCTCCTAACTGCTGTAAAATACATCCTGTGAGACCCAGGGGAAAATCATTCTGAGGTTGGGCATTCCATGGAGATTCAATATTCCACATTTTGAAATGTAGCTAGAAGTGGAAATGGATTTACTTCTCATGATCTCTTTGTTCATAATTAGCGATATAAAACATAGAGTTCAGAAAGCAAATGAAATATGATTGAAAAGAAAAGCCTTGATTTTACATACGAAATTTCTTTACCAGATGGGTGAACAAGGGTAACTTAAGATAGTACTTCAAATTAAACAGCAATGTTGAAACTATGAAATACTAAACTTCTAACACCCATGACCTAGTTCCTAGAAAGAAAGTTATCATATATTGTTAAGGTGTTCACACATTTAACAAATATTAAAGCATTCATTACATGTAGGGCATAAGAACTTATACCTCACTCAGTGATGATATTAATAACAATTCAGTAATCATTAATGACAGTTATGCTGTTAGTAACCACAAGGCAGGTTTATTAGGGTTTTTCTTTTCTTTTTGTTCTCTCCTATTTATCTTGACTTCCCTTAATTTAATTTTAGTCTCTCATTTAAATATAACCCCTCTTGTTCCAAAAAGCATTTATGACAAACATGTTTATAATTTGGATATTGTCCTAGCAGTCTTTTCTTTCAATTTTTCCTCCATTACTTGGGACTAATTGCTGTGATTTCTCTCTTTTCCTTCTTTAAAACCACCATATATAGAACATACGCTCTTGTGTGTGCAATTAAATATCTATATGGAATTCAAAATCTTTGATAACATTAAGATTGGGCTTGACTCACAACGATATTGACTTAGTCAATGCATTGACACTGGGTTAATTAGAACGTTCTGCATGGTTAG